AAAATTTGATTTGATTTGATTTGATGTTTGACAATTAGAGGATGCAGCCATTTCAGGGCTGCAGCAGTGACGGTTCGGTCTGTCTACCTGCAGGTCTTTGTTCTCCCTGCTGAGTCGAAGTCTCTCGGCCCGCTCCACGTCCAGAGCCTGACCCACCGCGTCGCCACGGAAACGCTCATCACTCAGCTCAGATGTCACAGCTGTAACCTACACACAGGGATCACAACGTAAACAAAGGGTGTGTGTGTCTGTGTGTGCACTGTGTATCTGCTGCAGCACAAACCTTGGTCTCCAGGCTGTCTGCATTCTGCCTCAGCTCATTCTTCTCCTTCTCTGATTTCTCCAGCCGCTGTCTCAGAGCCAATATCTCGTCCTGGCAGAAGGGAAAAGAGCCGCTCACAGCATCTGAAACATCTTTTCATCTGCATCACATCTGAAATGATTTTATGAAACATTTCCAACCCATATTTCTGATCTCCAGCCTTTCACTGTGGTGAGAGTCCACTTGTTGCATGCGGCGGTTGTGCGGACTCCACTCCCATTGTTCTGACTAATAAACTGTCTGTATGTTTTTATGTATGTCGTTGTCTGGTCACCGATGACACACTGTATCTAAAACACAGCACTTCATTCCTCATATACAGCGTACTGTTGTTTGGTACCGAGGTCTGGATAGAAACTTGTTCCCTAACATTGATCCATCACATGCGCCCCCGTTCCCTGCTCTGAGAACTGATACCAGCTGATGCTCTGGGAGGTTTTCCAGAAAACTGGTTCAAACACTGAAGGTAACCCTGAACGTGTGTCGACTGACCCCAAGATGGGAAACTCTGAAGTGTCGGTTCTAGAACAGCTGATCAGAGTCAGTTTTATTAATGGATGAACTGATTAATTACCAATTCCCTTATTTTGTCATTTCTCAGTCCTTGATCGACCTGGAATCTCACTCCGGTCCACCATGATGGACGACGTCCCCAAGCTCTCATTGCTGCTCTGAGGACCAGGGAGCAAAGAGGCTTCCTGGATGAGCCATAAAGGCGGAAACATGAGTGCATCTTTAGCAGACGTTTGTTACAGATTGACGAACCCTGTTATTGGAAATCAGTTTATGATTGGACGCTTCACATGAAGGATGTGGGGAAAAAACACCTCATGTCAGTTAAAATGTGTTTCCTTGGCTCCTCTCTCCTCACATCCTATGTGGGCAGGACTAAGATACAAGGAAAAGACTCAAGTGAGGGAAATGTGATTTACCACGAGGCGAGTGATGACTGTACTGCTCAAGTGAGGGAAATGTGATTTACCACAAGGCGAGTGATGACTGTACTGTCCTCTTCTCTCCTTTCCTTTCTCCCTATGCTTCTATATGCCACCATTACACATCACTAACTTTGTGTCTCCTCTCTCCCGTAGTGTGTCCTCTCTCTCTCCCTGTACCTTTCTACAGGTTGCCCTGGCCCTGGAGCTCTATGTCTCTGATGAGCAGTCACCAGCCACATCGACCTGATCAGTGTTTGATTGTTGTGTCTTGTTGCTTTTCTTCTTTTGTCTCTCCTCTATCCACTCACCCCAACCGGTCGAGGCAGAAGGCCGCCCACCAAGAGCCGGGGTCTGTCGGAGGTTTCTTCCGTTAAAGGGAGTTTTTCCTCCCCACTGTCACCAAGTGCTTGCTCAAGGGGGATTTGTTGGGTTTTCCCTATGTAATAATATTGATAACAGTAAGGTCTAGACCTTACTTTGTAAAGTGTCCTGAGATGACTTTTGTTGTGATTTGGTGCTATACAAATAAAATTTGATTTGATTTGATTCATACACCACACAGACAATGAAGACACCAGTTTTCACCGGTCTGACCGTCAGCAGAAATGTGCTGGACAACAATAGTTTTCATGTAGGCCTTGTGCATATAATCATAACAGACAACAGTAAAAAGAAAGATTAAAATAAAAAAGTTTGCAAAAGAGAAAAAAGATGGGACTTGGGTGTGGAGATTACACTGCACTCAGTGCACTAGAAAAAATAGACCTGAAGCAATAAAACCAGCGATGCATGTGTTGGGGAGACATTTCATAAAATGGAGTTCTATCTGTTGCATAAAAAAGGCGTATAAAACTGTGCTCTGTCTGAATTGGCCTTATGTATCCGTGTATGTGATTTGACCTGTTGTTTTATGGGCTTCCTGGCCATGTCACTGAGGCACTTGATTAAATAATTTTTTATTTTTTTGCCTTGGTGGGCTGCCACGTTTGAATGTTACCAGCAGAATTTTGTATGTGTTTCCCCAGCTTTCAACACAATAATCTAAATAAGGTAAAATCAATGAACAATACAAAATATGAAGTGTTTTCTAATCCAGTATTTGTATATTTTTGATGTGAGATTTCCAGCAAATTTTATCATTGACCTTAAAAAAATCACAAACTGAGTTGGAAGAAAGACTCTGTAAGTTCACATCGTTACATTTGTGTAACACTCTGAGGTCATTAACAGATGATCGAGTCCTTTGTTACATTAATTTGTTGAATATATTTATGTGTATATATCCATCTAACCCGATGGGGACAGAGCGCTGCTGGCAGCAGAGGATGAAGTCAAACAGTCACTGTAGGACACAGATTATTTATAGAGCTCTGGCTGTTACCTCAGTCTGACCCAGAAATAATGGTTTTGCTGGTTTCCAGCTGGAAAAGCATCAAAATCTAACCATGAATAAAGTCAAAATAAAGTTGATTATGGACAGAAACACATGCATATATTAGTTTTCTGCTTGTTAAAGAACACTGTATGTTTAACATTTAATGCACAGATTAGAAGCTCAAATGAATCAAAAATGTGGACTTTGGTTTTTTCCCACCATGACACAGCTAACGCGTGTGTGTGTGTGTGTGTGTGTGTGTGTGTGTGTGTGTGTGTGTGTGTGTGTGTGTGTGTGTGTGTGTGTGTGCTTGTGTGTGTGTACCTCTTTGGCCCTGAGCCTCTCGTTGTCCATGTTGACATCGAGCAGGGGACGCACTCGGCAGAAAAGTTTCCACCAGCTCCACGTGGCCACAGCCCTCAGAGCCCTCAGGTTCCTCTGCAGGCAGCGCACGGCCATCTGCTGCACCTGGACGTGCACACACACACACAGGTGTTTCAGTCAAAGCCGTGAGTTGAAGCTAGTTGACCAATAACGTTCTATTCCAAAATAACACACATTCTGAAATTAGAAAAGCTATGTGCATTTTAAAGAGCCGTTAAAATAAAAATTACTGGCATTAAATTTTAATTATCACAGCTTTTTCTTTCCACTTTCCTTACTTACACACCAGGCCATTAGATATGGCCTCCAAAATGACAGCAGAAAAAAACTTTGTTTGCAATGTAAATAAAAAAATACTTTGACCACTTTTGGAATTTATGCCTCCGGGAGCCTTTGAAAGACGCCACATAAAAACTCTAAATGTTGGGTTTCATTTCCTTTTTACGTGAGCATTGGTACAAAGCTGTCAGGTGGCAGCGTGAGAGGGCGTCTGATCCACACAACTACACTACAACCCCCCTTTAAACTGATATCTGAGCAAAATGAAATAAAAATGTGCTTTGGATTTTTAAAACAAGTTATTTTGAAACTGTGAAAAGGAAAACTGTCGTGTCTAAAGGGGAAATAATTAGCTGATTAGTTGACAGAGAATTTTTTGCAGCAAATATTTTGATAATGAAATAATTATTTTTCACATAAAATGCCAAATATTCTCTGGTTCCAGCTTCTCAGACGCGATCATTTTCTGCTGTTCTTTGTCAGACCTGAGCGTAAAATGAATGTTTTGATGACGTTTGACTGTTTGTTGGACAAAACAAGGAATTTGAAGACATGGCTTTCATGTCCAAGAAACCGTGCAGGTATTTTATTTCATCTTATTTTTTACATTTTAGTGATGAAACAAGAAAACAAAGCAATCAGCTTATTATTCGACAGCAATTAGTGTGCAGAGAAACACAAACCTTGAGTCTGCGGTACTTCTGTCGGGCCAGGTGTCCCAGGCAGGAGGCCTGTAGATGGACCAGCCAGCCTGTCACCTGCTGGTCCCTCTGCTGCTCCAGATACTGCAGCACCCCCCGCTTCATAAACACCTGAGACACCACAGGCACAAGAGCCATGAGCCACATCAGCTGGATTCATGTTCTGCCCTTTGATTAGAAGAAGTCAAACATGCTCTTCTCACCCTGCTGGCGCCCACTACGATGCTCTTTTTGTCAACATCCAATGCAACCAGCAGCTCCTCCACTGCCTGAGACACAGGAAGACAACCTGTTTATTTTACCTGCTGTCTGTACTGTAAGCGAGGGCGAGTTACTGTGAGGTGCTCACCTTCCTCTCATCATGGCTGACAAACATCGAAGCATAACGTTTCATGATTGGAGGAGATAAGGCCTGGAAGTGACGCCTGAAGTCACTCAGAGACATGTGCTCTGGATAACCTGAGAGAGAAAGAGACCCAGGTTCACAGTTTGTTCATGCAGTAGTTAAAATATAAAATGTGGATGAAAACACACTGTGCAGAGAGATCCGACTTGTTTTTATCTCGGTAGAAACTGTGGCAATGTGGCCGAATAACAGTTTAACTACAAATGAAGGTGAGATACACACAGAGCGAGCAAAAAAGGAAATGGTACATATGATATCAGAACACACCGGGTGGGTAAGATCTTTAGTTTTAAAGCAGAAACTGTGCCGTTTCCTGGTTTACTCTGTCAAACTTATGGTTTGGTTTTAAACAGCAGCATCATAAATGACTTTCATTCTGAAGTCCTGATGCCATTTCTTGATATTAATTAGGTTATGAGATCACATAGATGACAAATCCCCTCATTGTGTTTGAGGAGAAAACGCACGGCGCCGCCCACCCAGACCTGTTTTATCCTCTGCTTTTCAGGAGGAAGTCTATGATCATCTCTTTAGGGCCGACACCAAGCTATTACCTTCAACTCACTGGAAGGTTACTGCTAAAAACACGCCGGCCCGTCAGAGTATCAGAATCTTAACAAGACCACGAATGAAGCCAGGTTTCCTTATCTCAGCCTCTAACTGGTTCCTGCCATTTAATCCTGGGCCTCTTGCTGCATGAAGTACACGACATTGTTCAGGAGCTCTGTCAGCTGTTGGTGGCTGGCCTAAACAAACCCGGGGCAGCCGCTCATACACAATATACAAACATCCATTATTACCTTCCAAATGTTTCTTTTTAATAATGAGCAGCTTGCCATGTGTTTCTGGCTGAGCTGAATCCAGAACTGGTCCAGGATCAGCCTCACTGTTATTAAATTCACGCTGCTTCCAAACCTGTGGCAGGCCAGGTAAAAACAGGCAGAAAGTAAAGTGGGGCACGGATCTAAATGGATCAATGTGCTCACATAGAAATCTTCCTCAGAGGAAGAGTGTGGGCCGCCTGAGCTTAAGGCAGGGTTTGTTTTTAACTTTACAGACGCAGAAATCCAGATAACTAATTAGTCTAGTGTTTGTCCATGAGCCACAGCCCCTCGTTTCATCCCCCAACATTTAGCATCTACTGTATAAGCAGTGTATACAGTATTACACTCTAATATAGTCGTTAGAGCCCACAGGAACGACTTTAAATGATCATGTATTAACTAGTCGACACAGTTCTAATCAAACATGGGGCCATACACTGTCATTTATGGACTACAACTTGTACCATACTGGAATATACTCTGGGATGTGCATATTTTCTGTCCTCCAAATTCACATATATGAGGGAATTAGAATATTAGGAAGACGTGTGAATATGTTTCAGTCCAGTACAACACCAGCTTTAACTATGAGCTCAACGATAAAACACCAACGCCTGAACATGATCACCTCCATGGAGGAGTTACTGCAGGACTGTGGGATGGGTTGTAGCTAGGTGTACCTAATAAACTGACCAGTGAGTGTATACACACAGCACTTTCATTCATTAACCAGAATGCAGCTAATGTTTTATGACCAGGTACAAGTTTTATCGCACTAGGTGCCACTCATGGCTGTAAAATACAGTGTCTGAGTCCAAGAACCAAATAAAAGTGATCCCTGGGGAGGGTGTGAAAGGCACCTGAAGATGAGAGTTGTTAATTCAAGAGCACAAATTATTAAATATTCTGTTCTCTGTTGCAAATCATTTATTGATGATCTATATACTGACCTGTGCGGTAGAGCTGCAGGGCCGACAGGATCTGTGTGGAACGCAGCTGGGCTCTGAGAGCCGGGACGTCAAAGCCGCCGCTGTTGGTTTTTGCACTAACACACTGCAGGAACACCGGCCTGGTTCGACGGACCAGGTTCACCAGAGCGTCCTGTCGGGTGGGGGCAGTGACAAAGAGTCCAGTGGTGCTTTAAAGGTATTTTCCAGAGTTACCAGTATGCTAGTATACTTACTGCCTGCAGTTTCACAGCAATACACTGGGAGTGTCTGCGGATAGCTGCCATCCCGCCGCTGAAAGTCTTCCTGATGGTGCCGTTCCTCTGCAGAGAGCACTGGCTGCTACCCTCCAGACCCCCCAGGCCTCGACACAGAGGGGGCAGAGACATCCTGGGGGTAAACATGGCCTTCACTGCCTCGCTGAGGATGACACAGAGAGAAGCTGGCCTTCACATCAGACAGCAATCACAGTCTACGTGGCAACACGACGGTAATCACTATAGTAAAACAAGCAGTACTGGTGATAAATGCACTGCCATATGCTTCACATGTTCGTGTTGTTTGATTATTTATTAGATCTCTAGTGATATTACTGTTGCAGTTTGCAAACCTTCACTGAGAACTGACATGTTAAAGTTTTCCTCCAGTAATCCAGTGACAGCTGAGCATCCACAGCTTCACTACAAACAAGAACTGCTAATAGCTAATTCAGGATCCTTCTCATGGTGCCAAATGTGAACAAACATGCCAAAAATGTGTCATGTCTAAGCTGTGGACCACCCTGCCTCCTTACCAGCGGTATCCTTCACATCGCCCAAAGCATTTTGGGGCCATTAAGTGCATGTCTAGTGCACAGACTGTTCAGTTTCCCTTACGCAGACTCACATGGTGGAGTTTTGGAGCAGACAGATGGCGTTGAGAGCAGACGGGTTGTTCTGAATCAGACTGAACCATCCAGTCAGGTCGTAGCGGACCGGCTCTTCGCCCATCAGGTGGCTCACCTCACACTGCAGCGGCTGCTCGCACTGACGCACTGCAGGCACATGCACAGCAACCAACAGTGAATGTAAAATGCTCACACAATCTCTGCACACACTGGTGGGAGACTGAGCCCGTGTGTGTGTCTAGCTGGGTTTTATTACCAGTGTTGCTGTAATACTGGCAGACTCTCTCCAGGGCGGTGCTCTCACTGGAGTCTGGTGTCGCCATCTCCTCATCCAGAACCCATAACAGACCCCTGGCGTCTCCATCTGCTGCCCGGACCTTAGGCGCACACGTGCATCCACACAATATTCAATTACCACAAAAAGGCTAAATGAGCCTCTGCCGGTGCATGTGGTGAAAACAAGAAACCTTTTCAGCACATTGCTCTTCTCGGGATGAAACAGAAACAGTGATTCTCACCTGTGGAGGTGGCTGGTCAATGGCAGACACAACCTCCGTTGGGCTGCTCTCTGGACACTCAAAGTCCACTGGGATCTTCTCCTGTCACAGACAACATGTGTTTGTAGCTGTGTCTGTTGTTATGTGAATGATGAGTGCAGCCAAACAGTGTTGTTGTCTTTACTTTGGCAACTGCGCATGAAAGAAGTTAATATGTTTTCATCTGTAGCTGTGGCATTTAAAAAATAAACTACCATACAAGGCGGCACAGCGGCCGCCTCACAGTGGGTTCAAGCCCCAGGGCCTTTCTGTGTGGAGTCTCCATGTTCTCCTTGTGCCTGCGTTGGTTCTCTCCAGCTTCCTCCCACAGTCCAAAGATATGCAGCTCAGGTTGACTGGTGACTCTAAACTGCCCGTAGGAGTGAGTGTGGTGGTTTGTCTACATGTCAGCCCTGTGACAGACTGGAGACCTGTCCAGGGTGGACCCCGCCTCTCACCCAGTGTCAGCTGGGATTGGCTCCAGCCCCCCTGTGACCCCATTCAGGACTAAACGGTATAGATTCAGGATGGACTACCATCTGAGTACGGATCCTGAGCTAAAATCATTTAGCTAAAAACATTCTCCCTCTCTGTGTGTGGTTTCTGATGCGACTGCTGTGGCTGCAACCATCAGTCATTAGATAAAAACATTGCCTGATGACTGATTTCCACTGCAGACCACCGACACAAAACAAATGACACCACTTGAGACAATACAAACCTACATCGTCTGAGCTTTTTTTCAGAAGATAATTCAGACTTGTTTAGTTTTGGGCTTGGAGAATGATTAATCAGCTGGTTAGGAAAAGTTACAGACACCAAAATTGCACCAGTTACTGATATCTGCCCTGTATTTATGCTGCTGAAATGACTTCAGGCTGGGACACGGGGACGTCATCTAGCCCCTGTGCACACACCAACAGATGAGGTAAAAACAGAACTGCCTTGGCAGAGGTAACAGATTAACCATAGACCAGCAGATGCTGTGTTACCTGTGTGTATCTCTCCAGTGCGTGTCTGAAGGTGTGTGTGTGGTAGTGCTCCAGTAGCCTCTCCTGCAGGTAGTTGTGACAGAGCTCCGACCAGCTGGCTCCTCGCTCCTCCGCAGAGTGTCTCGGGCTCCTCAGGCCCGGAGTGTCCACCACCATCACAGAGGCTAGCGCCAGCTGCCGGTCGCTCAGAGCTCTGCCACCAAACACAGATCGACAATGCACATGTAGGCATGATACACAGGGATGTGTAACTGTGTGTTCTACAGAGGACTGATGTCACTTCTTCACATGACACCGGCTCCTCACACCGAGTGACAAAACAAACCACAGGAATCTGTTGTGAGGATGTAAAGCTGCCAGGTAAACAAACAAACATCCAGAAAAAGTAAAAGCCTTTAAATATTCATGTGACACACATATTGTATTCTGAGTGGAAATGTGGCCAGGAACTGAGGCTCCTCACTCCTAAATGTACCAGGAGCCTCGGAAAAATCACCTGAAGGCATGAACACTGAGCCAGCTTCTCCGAGCCTGCGAAGGCTGTGAATGTGGCTGAAAGCTTCTTTTGTAAACATCTGATTTATACTCAGTGCTACTTCTCTTTTGTACAGTACACTAAGTACGGTCACACACATTTCCGTGCTTTCTTTCCTTAGTAGATGTTGGCTCTAATGTTTTAGGGCTACAGACAAAAAGAGGAGACCTTGCATTTCAGTAGTGAGCACGTTCCCCCCACACTCTGTCACAGCTTTAACAAAGTAGTAAACAGGCTGCAATCGCTGTATCTCATTTTTTTCCCCAGTCTTAGTGGGATAAAGCGCTTTGCTGTTTGTCTCCCATTCAACAGCAGCAGCAGAGCTGCCACACACGGTGCTGGACTAACCAACTGCAGGGTTTAGTGTTTCCCCAGGAAGAGCTGAGGACCCCATGATGTGTGGAAACCTTGCTCTACTTCCTGTGCAGCCACACTCACTCATAGAGCGTCAGCTTAGTGTGGGTGTATCTGCATCCACGTACCTGTTGATGAGCGAGACTATGGCAGTGAAGAGGTCCTCATAGAGTCCAGCGGCCATCCCATTGACACACTGGGCAGCTGTCAGCCTGGGACCTGCAGAGACGGGCACAGGAGGAAATGGTTGAACATGTGTTTCTCATCCTGTGTGTTTTCTTTGGATAAATAAAACTCCATGTGTGAGACGTGGGCTCAGCAGTCATGGCTCATTGGCCAGTTTTCTGTCCAACACTTGGATTTCAGAGTGAAATGTCTTAAAAAGCAACCAGATGAATTACTGTGGAATTTATTACAGACATTCATGGTCCTTCACTGAGGATTCCTGGTGACTTCTCCTAGAGAGTTTCCTAAAAATAACAGTCATATGGGCAACAGAGACAATGTTATTTTAGCTGGTTGTCATTGGAATTTCCTTGAGCAATGCTGCTACTTAGAACTAAATCCACTTTGACTGTGTATATCCCATTTGATATACAACAGAGAAAATCCACTGCAGCATTCTGACCAGTTGAACCCAAAACATCTGTGAAAACGTCCCCCAGGACACTCTGCCCCAAAACTACGAGGCCATGTCATGTCCACGTTGTGCAAATATCACAACTGCTGCCCCCTCAGGAACTCACTGCCATCCATCCTACAGCTGTTTTCTGGTGTGCAGTGAGTGTTACAGCCTCACGGGGCCACTAGTGCTGTTGACACAGGACCCTCAGTCTTTAACTTCACTAGTAGCCTACAGCGACGCCTCTGAACCTACTGTCCTTCCTTTGTTACTCCTGCCTCCTCCTTTAGTGAGAGTTTGTGTGTTTGTGGCTCACCGTCCTCGGACTCGGCAGCAGGACTCCGCTCTCTGCTGCACCCGGTGGCTCTCTGCAGCAGCTGGCGGAGGTGGTGTTTGAAGACAGCGGTGTTCAGCTCCTCTCCATCACACCCCAGCACACTGCTGGCCACCTGAGCGCTGTCGAAGTTCACGAACTGTCTCCGGCCCACTGTGCAGTGGAAAGGAGAGGACATGATTCAAACTGTTCTGGGAGGACGCTAGGAAAGATTTCACAGGAGGCTGCAGTGTGTTTGTTTCAGAGGGAAAGGCAAAGAATGATCTCATGTTTCATCATTTTGCTAAACTTTATTAGCACTGAGAGACGGGCTAAACATTTTGGCATGAAGCTTTCGGAGCATTTTGTATCTGAGCATCAGTGTCGTACACAAACAAACTATTCTTTGGTTATTTTACAGTAGAAATGTCTGAATTTGTGCTGTTAGAGTCTGAAGACAACAGGACTCTGCAGGAAAATGCTAATGTGCCTATCATCATTGAGTAATACTGGATTTACAGTTTGTGACAGTAATAACCACAATTACATAAATCAATAATCTGTGAATAATAATAGAAATGCGTTTTCTTTATTTTAGTTCATATATTTTTTATTTTTCTCTTTTCTTTGGCACCTAATTAAGCAGACAATTCACACCAGTCTCCTTTAGTGATTTCATAATGTGGTATTACAGCAGTATTGTTACCAGAACACAGTTAAGACTAAGTGTAAGTGGACGACAGCTTTGTTTTGTCTTTCATAAGAAGTGCAGGTTTTTCAGTTTAGTGTGAGGGTTGTTGGACAACAGTGTGTGTGAGGAAACCGTCCTCACTACTTCAGGGTTCAGGTTTGAATCAGGTGTAGGTTTACGGCGAGGGTCGGGCTTTGGCATTCAGCTGTGATGGTTAAAGTTAGAGGCTTGTAAATGAGGCAGCGAAGGTCCTCACAAGTGTAGGCAGACAAATGTGTGTGTGTGTCTAGAGGTCTTACTAACCCAGTGGGAGTGAGGATGATGAAGACGATGAATCAGTGTTACCTTTACAGGCCCCAGCAGCTCCCAGATGGTAGATACCAGCCAGAACATGCCAGATCGCATCCTGCTCGCCGGCTGAGAAGCCCAGCATTTCCATGGCAGTCAGCAGCTTGGTGAAGGCGACGGACGCACGCTGTTTCTCCTCAACCTGACAACAGACAGACAGGGAGGGGGGACTCTGAAAACCAGCCACTTAATAAGGTGGGAGAACAGCTGAGTCACACCTCATCTGCCATCACTGACTTCACTGCAGGGTTTTGCCTCCTCAGATCTTCTCTGAGTTCACTTATCTATTTTTGTTCCCCCAGACTGTGGTCACAGCGACGCTGTCAACACACATGTTCTAAACATCTCCCATGTTTTCTTGCAGTTCATGGTGATTTAGAAATGTTTCTAATGCTGCACTGTGACAAGCAGCCTCAGCCAAATGTCTAAAACGTAAAACGAGTATATTTTCTGTCACCGGGGGACGTCATCGTTATGGAGTCTAAGCTCTAAACTTGTGGCTTCCAGTGAGTATTATTACGCCCCCATAAGGTTAAGGGACGTACCTGAGACACACCTAAACAACAGCAGTGACATATCTGATAAAGTCAAAGGTCAAACCACCCAGGATTGATCAAAAACACAAACAGCTAGTGTCAGTGTGACTTCAGGGGGCGCGGCCCGCTAGTGGCTGTAACCACACGTTCAGAGACGGTCGACGTTCAGACCTGGAGCAGCAGAGCTAATGATGAGCCCAAACTTCCATTCATCAGTTTCAAATTGTTAGTTCCCTTGAGTAGCTTTTGTCACTGTGCTATAATGAACCTGGTCACAGCAAAGCACAGGTGTGACTAATAATATGGCTCTGTTGGATGAAACGTTCCAGTGTGACAGCATCAGGACCCTGAAGCTTCCTGCTTATCCAACAGCACAGCCTGCATGCACGCCGCTATCTGTGCTAGAGTGCTTATGGTCAGTCAGCGTCCTAAGGTTAGTCTGTGTGAGGGGCATCCCACCCCACCCCAACCCCCGCCCAGCTGGCGTACCTTGGTTGGATGAATAATACCAAAAGAGTTCAATTCAGGAAGGTGGTGCAGCTGAAGTTCAGTCCTGAGGAGGAATCGACAACAGGGAAAAACAATCAAGATAGGTGCAACTGTCAGATCTGATTAATAAAACCAAATCACAATTCCCAATCTAGGGGTCAGGGCCCTCCACGGGGTCACCAGATGAATCTGAAGGGTCATGAGATGATTAATGGAAGAGGAAAGAAGAAAAAATAAAATCTGATACAGAAAGCTGTTCACAGTTTTTGGACTTTTGTGAAATATCGGAGCCTCAGTGATTTAAATGTAACTGTGCTCAGTGGTTTCAAGGAGAGATATCTGTTTGTGTGGAGCTGCTAGCAGCTCCTAGGCAACTGAAGCACACAGAGACAGTTGTAAGGGATGACAAGACAAGTGACTGGAAAACACCGGTTTAATCTTAATGTGTTTTACTAACATACAGAACAATCTGGAGAGTACCTCATCTCCGTGCTCATTCCAGCCAGCATCTGAGAGAAGACCAGGAAGTTACTCTCTCCTTGAGTTTTATGGCACACTTTCCATTTGTCCAGCATCATGGTCTGATGGAGAGGCAGGAGAGAGGGAAGGGTGAGAAGGTGGAGAGGTGAGTAACTTGGTGCGCAGCCATGTCTGACTCTGTTCGGTGTGTTTGTGTGAGGCGTGCCTGGAGGTGTCCGGCCGCAGCCTGTCCAGTGTGGTTGAAGTCCAGTGAGAAGACCATGGCGAACCGAGACGAAGCCTCGCTGTGCTGAGAGCTCACACAGCCGAAGGACCTGAGGATGGTGAACATGGCCTGTACGCGCTCCACTGGAAAACAACAGAGACAGAGATGGATCAGCAGTCTGCGTGGTTTGAACGTGGCACCGTGCGCCCGCTGTACTCACCACTAACAGAGACAGAGATGGATCAGCAGTCTGTGCGGTTTGAACGTGGCACCGTGCGCCTGCTGTACTCACCACTGATGTTCTCTCCAGTGGCACCGGCTTGTTGGAGGAGAGCATGTATGAAAGCTTGGCATGCAGCCGTCTTGCCCGTCCCACTGTGTCCCACCGCGCATACGCTCTGGTCCCTCCTGGTGCCAACCATGGACACATGGACGCGTTTGACCAGAGCAGCCATAGCAGGAGGAGCATCCCACACCGACTCCCCTCGCCTAGACTTCAGGGTCTGACAGAGAAGAAGAAGAAAGAACGGATGAAAACAGCTCAGAAGCAACAAGTTGAACAGAAAACTAATCAGCAACTGTTCTGATGCCTGAGGTGGACCTCGGTGTGTTTCTCTTTTTGTCCTTCTGACATGTACAGACAAGTAATCTGCAGATTACTACATAATGAAGATAATCATTAGTAGCTGCCCAAAAAGCTTTGGTCCTCAGAAACAGGTTAAAAACTATCATTAACAAATCATTTATACACATCTGTAAAATGTAAATAATAAATTATTAATCCATTATGTTAATTATAACAAAATTATGATAATTACATAAAGTTGTTATTTAAAAATGTAATTGGCAAATAAATAAGCAGTTATATGAATAAAAGTTTGACAAATTATTTCATTTTTTGTGTTTAAAACATTTTTATATGAATTCTACAATCTATTACGTTACTGTAAAGGAATTATTATTGATCTGTTCAGCAGTGAGCTGTAACAATTGGTTGATTAAGCTATTGGCAGAAAAATGAATTGGCAAATATTTTGATTATTGATTGAGCCCCTCAGTTTAGTATTTACAAGGAGTATACAAACACTTAATCAGTGGTTTCTAATGGAGGTGCAGGGAAAGTAACAACACTGTTCAAGCAATGGTCAACAAAGGAAGCAATCAGACAAGCATGACACTATAAACACGTGAGTTGTTTAATTAACCTGTTTTAGTTGTACTGGACAAAGTGAAGTCTTAGGAAACATACGTTGGACATTTTCCGAGCAGTCTAAGCAGCTAAAGTTTGAGAAGATCGATAAAGCTGATTGACACCTTGCCGTGTGCCTGGATGGGAGGCCAGAAGTTGACCAGGTTGGGTCCTGCGTGTGTGAGCGGCATGTTGGCTTTAGTTCGGCTGGTCAGTGTGTGCAGAACTCCACATTCATTCACGCTCTGCAGGTCGCTCAGGTCCTCACACAGATCCAGCTCCGGGGGGTTGCACTGTGGAGGGAGAAGGACGGCGTCAGTGCACGAAAACAAACCACAAAACAAAAGGAAGTGAAAGAGTTGAGGTACCTTCTCAATTTCATGCTCTGTGACGTCATGCAGTGACCCATCTGTCTGCAGACGCACCCTCACACGGCCTTCTGGGAGTTCAGGTGTACCTTCATCTGGCTTCAGCTGAGTGGCTGAAATGAGAGATCAGTCGTCAAAACAGCTTCCCCTGTCAAAAGCAGAACGCCTGGCATTAACCCCGCAGAGTCTGATTTATGCCACATGGCTGAGTATCCATGTCCCTCTAAGATTTCATTTCATAATTCTCTGATCTCTGCATATTGACAAGCAGGAGACAGGGGGTGTGTGGGGGTGTGACGGGCTAATGGGATTAGTGCAGTGCAGATGAACAGATGGAGCCAAGCGCAGCAGGAAGGACGGTGACTCTGCTGTAACTAATGTTCAACATATGCAGGAACTGTAACCATCTAGAAGATTATCAGAGGCTGTGTCTGCACAGAGGACTCAGCTAATCCAAACACACATTAAGGCCTAAATGACAAACAGTGGATAGAAGAGCTGCAACAAAAGGTCAGTTAATCGATTTGTTGATTTTAGATCCAAATACTTTGTTAATTAAAATCTCAAATGTTAAAAAGTTGCTAGTTCTCCTGGTCTTGACTTTATAGTAGAGGAAATGTTGGACAGTAATGCCTCTCTCTGTGCTCCAGGAAACCGTACATTGTCAAACAGTTATTGAATTAATCAGGAAAGCAAGTGGCACATTAATCAAATATGAAAATGATCATTTGCTCAGAAGGAGAAATCATGTTTCTGCTTCTAAATTAATCTTTGAAGTCACTGAGAACTGAAGTGCTGCTCTACTTCTACTGTGACCAAGTCATTGTAAAAACTGCTTTTTGACAAAGTTGACATTTTTCACAAATTGGCCAAATGTTCTAATTAGGTTGATTTTGTTCTGAAGGTGCTGTGGTCTGAACTACTGTGTCTGTGAGTCTATGATATTCATTTAAGATGGTTTTAAGTGTGTGTGTGCTTCTGTTACAGATGAAGATCACTGATCTGACTGTGAACAGTTTCTGCAGGAACTACAGATGGTGACAAACTAAATGAGCAGGAACTACAGATGGTGACAAACTAAAGGAGACTCCTGACTGAGTGGAGACATAACCAGCAGGGCCACTGATCAATCAGCTGATCATTGTCCTGATGATCTGATCGATCTGTTTGTCCCCAGAATGTCAGACACTGGGATAAAGTCCCACTGTGACTCTCCAGAGCCAAAGGTGGCGTCTCCACAACCAACAGATCCACAGAGACTCAGCTGATTCTCATGTCTGACAAAGAAAAGCATCAGCTCCTCACATTAAAGAAGGTGGAACCAGAACATGTCGGTGACTGTTGCTTCTAAATAGCTGAGGTTCATTTTCTACCAGTGAACTGACTCATGGCTGCAGCTCTAGGTCACTGAGTGGCTTCATGAGGACAACACCACGGGTTGGACACAGTGGGGGGGATCTGGTTTGGAAGGAGGAGGTTTCCTCCTCCGACAGAGGAGACCTGACCAGGCTCTGGAGACTCGGCCCTGCTGGGGACTGGGTTTGTCCTGTCAGTTGTCACCCATGTGTATTTTCCACTGAAGAAAGTCATTCTAAAAGCAGAATGACATCTACCTGTTGTTTCAAAACAATGTGATAACAAAGGGGTGGTTGGAAAACTATGTCCACAATGTAGACACGGTTTATATTAGGGGACGCACCAGCAAACATGTTTGATATGTTTTATATTCTGTTGTTTGTGTGTATGGGTGTAGAGTTGTGTTTATATCTCACCACGGGTGAAACCGTCCTTGTGGACATACCACACAGTCCCGGCTTCATACCACACATCCCTCACCTGAGAGACAAGCAAGGACACAACAGAGGAGCAGAGACAATAAACGACGTCATAATCACATAAAAATTCCAGTTTTTATGCTTCTGTTAAATGCAAAGTAAATTATTTTGTTCAGATTTGCTTTTCTAAATTTCACATCATGTTCACTGATTACATTTAAAGGTGTATTAACTAATATTTTCCACATTGTCTGATAAACCCAGTGACAGTGGGACAGGACGTGACGCCTCTCAGCTACACCCCCCTCTATGACCCCCTGTTGTTATTCCAGCTTCTCCACCCTGTGTTGTCGGTCTGTAAATTAGCCCCGCCCCACCGTTAGCCAGCTAATGCTAGCTTCAGACTGTAGGCTACAGTTTGTACAGTTTGTCCCAACCAGGCTTCTGTAGTTTATATCATTGCTAGGAAATAGGACGTGGTGGTGACAGTTTGCTTGGAGCCTCACTAGAGCCTTTGGGCTGAGAAGGTCTAAACACTGAACAAGTCTGTCATTATTCCAGGGACAGTTCAGATTCCACACTACTCTATAAAAGATGGCAGCACCACTCATACCTCTCTCCTCTCCGGCTCTGTGATGGTTGTGTCTGCTTGTCTTCCCTCTGGCTCCTGCCTCTCCTCCTTCTTCTCCACCTGCTTCACTTCCTCTGTCTTCTCCTTCTGCTCGGCTTGTGGCACCTTCTTGTTCTTCTCTGTCCTTGTGTCCTGCTGCTGCTTTGGCGGCTCTAGTGTCACATCCTGTTTGGTTTCCTGTCTGTTGCCGGGGACAGGACTGACTATGTGCCTCTGTGAGGACGACCTGCCGTCCGACAGGACTGAGTTGCGTCCTTGCTTGCTGCTGTTGATCAGTTGTTCGGCTCGGAGGGACATCTCAGCCTCGAGGATCGGGGGAGTCTGATCTGGGACAAGAAACTGTTGAACCAGGTTGTTGCTCAATTTGTTTGGCTGCAGGGGGAAAAACAGGAATCAGTATGGTCCTCTATAGGAACAATGAGCCTTTTTGTAATATACGTGTTTGTTTTCTTTGTGACAGTTAGCTGAGAGGAGCGATGCCACTTGTGTCTGTTCACTAAATGTGAAGCTGCAGCCGGTGTTGTGTCAAAGTCTGATTTATATGGTGGCCCATAAAAAGGCGAGTTAGATTGGCTTAGTGAAAAAACTGTACACAGTAAGAAAAAAAGACCTTGAAACAAGAAGGTGACTGTGGTTCAGTGGGTAGAGCGGTTGTCTCCCAACCAGAGGGTCGGAGGTTTGAATCATGATGCCTGCAGTCCACGTGTCGAAGTGTCCTTGGGCAAGACACTGAACCCCCAATGGCCCTAACCATCAGGGGCAACTTGGGTTGGGTTGGCACCGCACATGGCTGCCTCGGGTCTGTACCAGAAACAAAGTCCTTGTGTGTAACATACAGTACTTGGCCAAACTATCTCCCACAAACCCTGTGGGGCACCGCTCTGGCCATCAGGAACAACTTAAAGTTCAGTGTCTTGCCCAAGGACGCCGTGGCATGTAGACTGGTGAGAACAGGAATTGAACTGCTTGCCTTCCAGTTGGAAGAAACCACTCTGCCTCCTGAGCCACGGCCACCCTGTTTCCAGTCCTCATGCTAAGTTAAGCTAGCCAGCTACTGGCTCCAGCCTCAGTCAGTCCTGGTATCAGTAGTTTCATCAGGCTCTTGGCAAGGAAGTGAATAAAAGTAAGAAGCTCAGAACTCGTGTGGACTGAGACCAGCACTGACCGGCCGCTCCTCTTTGACCTCCGGCTCCTTCTGTTTGGTCTCCTGCTCTGTTTCTCGGACCAGCTGTTTGAGGAAGCCGCCTGGCAGCGCTGACAGAGGCGGTGGAGGCACGGCCGTGGTCACCGGCTTGTTCTCCTCCTTTATCTGTGGTTTGATTGATTGGCCAAGGCAGGTGGAGACAGACAGAAACAACAAGTCACTGTGTGAAGAGTAGGGCCACACTGAACATCCTGTATTACTCACCTGTTTCTAGAAACCCTGGAGGTGAGGGACTAAAGCTGGGAACACTACAGGGATAATAACTGTGATTTAACCTCAGTGACAACCCCATTTTAAAATCAGTGTGTCTGGTCTGCCAGAAGCACGACAGCTTCCGTAGACATCACCAGTGACGGCCCTCTGCTAGAGGACACTGGGGTCAAATCTCTGTTTGTCACAGTCCAGTGTAGTTTCAATGATTCCCCAGAGTGTGTGTTCCCAGTTTTACGACGAAATACAAGTCAGCGGCTGTGACGAGCACCATGAGGGGATGTTAGGTGCCACACAGTGGAGGCCAGAGACCCGACCTTTAACCAACAAGTATCACATTCCGGCACAATAGGGAATATTATAAAGGTCAGTGGGACAGCTGTTTCCATTCTGTGACTAGCTACCATATGTACAGTAATCATGAGAAAACTTAGTGGAGAAATAGCTGAGCAGTGCCTCATTATAACACGTACTGGCTCATCGTGGACATGAGCAGGCAGTAAACGGAACCCAGTAAATAGAGTATGTACACACATCATGGTGAAATTCATCACCAGTGTCATGTTTTTCTTGGCACAGCTCCTAAACGTCCAGTCCTAAAACCTGATGATTTAGACCTGGACCCACACACGTGTGCTGGAAGATGCTTTTTCCAGAGCGTGTGCCAGACGTGGCCCGAGAAAACGTGCCAGCAGTAGTGAGGTACACCATAGCATGAACTGACATGATCTGTTTCAACATCTCATTAGAATAGATTCCAGCAGCAGGTGTCGAGTATTCAGATCCTCTACTTACTAAACAATTTCTAAATTGAGTGTGATATCTACAGATTGTTCCACTGCTGTGAAGCCAGTCAGGAAAATCTTCATGTGTATTAATATACAAACCTACTAACAACCTGAGGTGGACTGTAACTAGGTACATTTACTCAAGTACTGCAGTTGCTGCCTTGTTTGAGTATATAATATTCTACTTTCACTGCAATTGAAGTTATTTTTACAGATCATGAGTTTACATTAAAAAAAGAAAAGATCAAGTTATAAAACACATACTATCAAAGATTAAACCAGTAGTTTGGACTCATTACCACAGCAGGGTCACGTGGTTTCAGGAAAAAGGCCAAGTTCTCCAGTACTAGTGGGAAACTGTAATACTGTGTACAAGAATGTTGTTTTGTCCTCTTTCCTCTCTCAGCGATCATCTCACGACCCCTCAGATGAATCTAAGACCCCTTGTAGGGGCCCGACCCATATGTTGGCAACCACTGGGCTCCAGCTCTGACAGTAACATGCAGCTGAAGCTTTGATGCACCTTTATCATTAACTCTAAATGTAACTAAAGTACTAACAATCTAATAATGTATCTTACTGTCATATATCACAATACGTACTTTTACTTTTGATGCTGTAAAATACTCCTGACTTCTACTTGCACTTGAGTATTTTTACGTTGTCGTACTGGTACTTTAGCTTAATTAAAGGATGGGAATACTTCGTCCACCACTGCACATGTATTGAGGGAGGACTTTAAAAAGCACTGAATCACAACAGAAACATCAGCTTCTCGGTTACACAACGAGGCTTTAAAAGGCTCCCACTCGCACACTGAACATGCAGGCTGACTAACACACCGGTCACAGCAGGCAGGCTTCACACTGATGTGCCCTGATGACTCAGGCATGCAATCGATGCTACGTCCTACTATACAACACACACACATGCAGTCATCATCCCAGAGTGGATGTTCAGTTAACGCAGCATGCAGCAACTCTGCACCTCCCTTCTGCTCCCACAGTTTTAAGCGTGAAGACAGTGCCATGGTTGCACAGGGGGCAGGGTGGAGGGCGGTTCAGGGGTGTGGTGAGGTCACACAGAAGTCAGCCAGATGTGATGTCAGAATGGCGGTGTGTGTGCGCAGAGAAAGACACACAACCTGACAACGGAGGGGAACAGAGCTGGAA